CAAATCAGCTTGGCAACCACTCTCTCCCAGAACCAGTTATTCCACTATGCAAAGCAGGCACCATGGCTAGGCCCCACAATATTCTTGAAGGCTCATGAAGATGTTTTAATTTACTTTATAATCTGAAGGAAAAATACACGTTAGGTCAAAGGAAATATGTTAATATATAATGGCAATATATTCAACTTTTTATGCCAATGCACTTTTAAAAGATAATTTTAATAGTTATTTTTTAATGGAAGATGGAACCCATAAAGGCAAAAGTGGCAAGGGCTCATGAAAGTCATATTGTGGCCCTAGCTTGCCGCTGTCATGTTCATAGTCTAAATGCAATGATGGATGGAATAAAATGCATGCAGCTGCACCAAGTGGAGTGCTAGGCAACCTCAGGGCTTCATCTGACTCTCACACATGAGCCTACCATATGGCTAAGTGATAAGGTGTGAGCCTTTTCTCAGAAGCAATAATCATTACCAACCCCTTGTTTTTAGAACATTGTGGAACTAATGGCAGAAAAATATCCATGGAGTAAATTTGTGTGTTTGTCTAGATAACCACGTGTGCATGGTGCACAGAATGCTGGGCAGCAAGGCTGGCACTGGTGGTTCCTCGGGCTATCAGTACCTGCGCTCAACCGTGAGGTAGGTGGGGGAAATTCTCCTTTCTTCTTGGTGGCAGTGACCAACTTTTTGTTTTCCCACATATACGTGCATGATCTAGGAAAACCCATTATACTTGCCCCTGTCTGAACTGTGGATCACACATTTGTAGTTATATTATGATATTCCATTTGGAGCCTTTGGATGTAATTGTATAAACTTCTTGATTGTGGAACTTCATCATTTTGATCCTGTGATGAGAAGGGTCACAGTACCAATGGCAGTATGACTTGTGAGGACACAGGATTCAACAGCGTTTACATCCAGGCAGAAAAGTCTTCTCATTCTGGCTCAAATGTTGACTAGACTAAAACTTTGATCGTTGATTTCACTTACGTTTTCTTGGCCAGACACAGCTAAAATAGTTTCTTGTTTCCTCATGTGAGTCTATTTTAGATCAGAAAACTACTTCCATCTATTCTAGAGAGTGCCCTTTTCATAGTGTTTATAAAGAAAAATGTTAGCATTTATTGAGGACTTAGAACATGCTAGAGATATTTCTAAGGCATTTACATTCTTATTCTATTTGATATTCATAATAGTATAGATAGGTGGATAGATATATCTGGAAACTGGGAAACTTTCATGGTTCTTTGGAAAAAGAATCAGCTCAGGGATAAATCGAATATTGACATTTAGCCACCAAATTCTTGACAGTACATTGCTTTCATTCCTACCAGATTGGCCATTTTCTAAAATGAACAGGATCATATTTTTATCATTTTTCACTTTCCCTGGGGATCAAGTCTATAATCATGAAATAGTCAATGACTGCACAAAATAAGCACACCCATCAGTGGTTGGTGGGAATAATTAATACAAACAGTATTTATAGTGGGTCATTATTTCATTAATCTCCACAAAGGCCTGACCAGAGAAAGGGATTAAAACTTTTATTTTAGAGTTAGAAACTGACATTTAAACAACTAGTCCAGGGTCCCCAGGTTGGAGGTGACAGAACCAGGATTTGAACTCAGATTTATTTGACATCTTTCTCTATATAACTACAAAAGGAAACAAAGTTGACTATCGAACATAAAAGCAATTTTAATATTAAAATCACTCTTGTAGACATTTATTATGAATCTAAAATAGCATTTCAATTTATTAATCCCTTCATGGCAGTTATTGGGCAGCTACTTTGCAGTTGGAAAATATTTTTCAATGACCAACTAAGAACTCTCTTGGCTTTAAATTTATTACTTTGCATGCTATCCTTCAGAAGCAGGAAATGAGAATATACTCTTGTCTTTATGAAGGAATATGACAATAGGAAGGATTAAGGATTAGGATAGCAATAGGATTAAGACTCTAGGCCTTAATCTGTACCACTTGGTCTGGATCAACAAAACATACAATACTATTTTATGGGCATGAACTCTGGATATAGAATAAAAACTAGGCAATCTTAAACTAACAGTGCATAATAATTAATATTATATATATAAAACACATACTATATGCAATTAATAATATTTATATATAATTATTTATGAAAAAATATCTGAGAAATAAAATTTTTGGATAGAAAATTTTAAATATTTCATGTCAACAAATCTAAAACATTTTCATGTATGTATTTTTCCAGTGATAGGTACAAGGTATTTGTAGATTTATTTAACCTTTCCACGTATATGGTTCCTCGACACTGGATCCCGAAGATGAACCCAATCATTCATAAATTCACCTACACGGCTGAATACATTGACAGCTCGTACTTCAGCAGTGATGACTCAGATTAAAATCATCTACAAAATCTATGAAGAATCATGATTTCTCCGTCTGTATTTGTTATTTTCTATGTGCTTTCATGAATACACAGTCTTAACCTAATACATGTATATACATAGTTCAGCACCATGGTGTTCTGATTCAATGCTGGAAACAATTTGATTACCTCATATTTGTGATGATATAAGATTAAGCATCGAGATGAAACATAATTCAGTTAAATTGTAACATTGTACATAAGGTGTTTTCCTATTAAAAATTCAATTTCCTCTGCTACTTACCTTAATGTAACCACTTAATATAATCATTATCTCATTGTTTCATATTTTATAAGTTTGTAAACTTCAGCTATTTCAAATATGTTATGCAATAAAATGTATCATTCTGTGCAAAGACTTATTCAAACAAAATTTTTCAAATAATAAAAATTAATCTTTTGCCCTGTATTGTTTTTCAAACATTGCTTGTGTTTGTTAGGATTCTTGATGATCAAACACAAAAATCTGTCTGAAGCTTGCTTAGAGGGGATTTTCTGAAGGATTACTACCTCACAGAATTCAAAGCAGCATTGTCCAAAAGCCTTAAAGGAGAGGAGCCTGGGATCTCTGATGCCACAGGGACTGGATCCTGTTCCTGGAAAACTGTATTCTTGGAACACTTTGAAGATCCTTTATGTCTCATCTCTTCTCTCTAGGTATTGGCTTTATTCTTCCATGTCGTAGAACAGCTTTTTCCTTAGGCTGGGTCCCAGCTTCCAGCATCTGTGAACTCACAAAAGGGCAAAGGTTCTCTTTTCCCCAGCTCCCATGCCCGTGGGCTGGGAAGCAGAGTGAACTCTAATATCTCGCAGAATTGAGGTAGGAACAAGTAATAGCTCCCCCAAAGAAGAATGCTCTTTCCAGAAGAAAGGGGAGGTAAACAGATTAAACAGCCATCAAATTCATTTGTAATAAAAAGTACTAGACTAAGAGTTTAGTTCAAACATAATTTTAGTCTTCTTTTTCTAGCATAGCCAAGATGTTGTCAAAACTTAAATTTCTCTTATGGGAGGAAGTACACAATGTTATCAAAGGAAACTAAAATAAACATTAACCTTGACCCTGAGTAATTGCAACTAGCAAGCAGCAAATTCTTGATAAAATCGAACTATTTTTTGGTTTCAATTACAAGATTTTCTTATAAGGATCATATCATCTAGCTTGTCTCTAAATTACATATAATTGTTCTCGCCTACATGACCTATCTGTGTGTGTGTGTGTTTGTGTGTGTACACACAGTATCCAATGATGCTTATGCTGAAAAGATACAGAGGCAAATTTCATGGTGGCTAAAGATATTAGCTTTGAAATCAGCAAGCTTGAGAGCAAATTCTGGCTCTGCCATTTACTATCTACTCTGGTACAAACATTGGCTGAAGCCCAGTTTCCTATCTATATGAAGATAGAAGAATGTACTTTATAATCTGTACTTTTTCTCATGAAAAAATGTTAATATTAACAGATGTTCTGTCACCAAAATACCTTGGAATACTGGAGCAAATGCTACTTGTCAAAGGTTTATCATTCTTTTAATAGACTATATGATTGGATTTAGTTCTTTATATCTATATTTCTTGGAGTGACTAAGCTATATAGCTGCGAGAGTTTTTTTTCAAAGGATACATCAGTAATTCTTAATGTAAATATCAAAACAATTTATAATGCCAGTTCCCACCCTTGCTCCATTCACATTTACCTACCGAGCTGATGCTCCAAGTTAAACTGTAATTCTTAAATGGGTCGGAAAATCACTTTAAGGTTGGCTAATTTAGCATTCACTTCGAGATCCCTGCAAAACCACATCCAGGAGCATGTTGATGACTTTCATTATAACTCATAATAATTATTATGTGAAGATTGCACTGCGCTGACTTCAAGTGGTTTGTCATGGCTGGAGCAGAGCATATGTCCACACAGCACGGCTGCAATTGTGGTTGAGAAGGTGGAGAGGGGCTACTTCATAAAAACTCACTTCAAAGAGCTTGCATATTATCTTACAGGTTTTGGGGAGCCCCTGGATGTTTTGAAACAGAAGAATGACACAATGGTGTCTTTGAGACATGTAAATCCAGGAGAAATAGAGTAGGTGGATTGTGATAACATGCATGAGAATCACCTGGCTTCTGTCTGGGGACTATAATTTGAGAACCCCCGGATAAAGGGACATGGAGTGTAGTGAGTACAACATGGCTGACTAGTCGAAATAAGAGATACTAAGGAACTTGCAGCTAAGAAAGGACAGAGAAATAGGAGATACATGACAGGGTGATGGCTCACCAAGGTGTAGCTGACCTGATTAAATATCCAGGATTTCTCCTGATTTTATTGATTGGGTGATTATATAATGTTGATGTTGTTAATCAAAATAGAGGCTCTAGGAGGTGAAGGAGGCTTTTTTGGGTGGGGGCGGGGAGAATGATGAATGGAGTTTTAGAGACATTGAGATTAAAGTGTCTGTGGAGAAAACCAAAAACTGGATATATAGATTTGGAGCTGAAAAAAGTCTGCGTGACTGCAAAGCACATTAATACTGTGTTGACAAAATGTAGGCCACTCACTTGAGAACAGGTTCTTTTTGAACCAAAGTCAAACACAGGTTGTTTTATTATAAAGTCATCAAAATTCAGAACAGCAGAGAGGTATTAATCATTTTGAGATGTTAAAAATCCTTTAGCCTTTGAAAAAGGGTATTACAAAAGCATTTATATCCTATAGAAAGTCAGTACAGTAACAACACAAACTAGAACAAAAATGTCAATATATGTCTTCCTGGAATATCTCGAAACCTGAGTCAACACACATTCTTTTGAGATTGGTTCTGGCTGGTGTACAAAAATAAATACAATATTTTGTCTTTGATTTTGTTTTTCTAATCAAAAGGAAGGATAAAGGGCAAACATCAGAGAAAAAATGAGATGTCCTTGAATTTTCTTTAGTGGTTTCCGCTGCTTATGAAGTTTTATTATTGTTCAGATCTTCTACATTAGAAAATAATGACAAATTTTAGAGAAGTAATATTTATATAGGTAGTACTTGAAATGATGTCCTTGTATTAACTCATTTAAGACGGTTGTACTTATACTCAATCAGAAGACCAGTTCTTTGGTACTAGGGTCCGGCCACTGCTTATATAAGAAGTGGCTTTGTTCCTGGTTGCAGGGTATCAGCAGAACATAGCTCCCCTCTCTGTGCACAGGATTATTGATCCCTGCTGTGGATGCAAGTTAATCAGAACTGCAATCACAGCACAGCACCTGAAATCACTCACACAGTTAATGACGCAAGAGGTCACAGGCATCGTGACTGAGCCAAGTGAAAGCCAAAAAGGGTGCACAAAGAAGTGGTTAGGACTGAAGACGCAGAAAACCAAGCAGAAAACTGGGACAAAGAGTCTGGGGAGCTCACGTTTGGGCTGATCACTCCACGTTAAGAGATAGGACTTTGAAAAAAAATGGTGTTAACAAATCATGGGATGAAGAAGGTGAGAGTCAGAGGTTGATAAAGGCATAGAGATGAAGGGAGCCCAGGAAGTGGTTAAAAAATAGAACTAGAAAGTACAAATGAGAATTAATTCTTTGGTCAGGGAAGCCAAATCACTAAGAAAACTCGATTAAGAGAAAGAGAAAGAGGATGAGAAAATGTGGCAAAACACTTTATTCTCTAATATAGGGGGAAAAGTAAGAAATAAGATCTATTGGATTCCTATCAGCAATGAAAATTTCCGAACAACTTGCCTCTTGTGAATGCTAGTAAAGATTTCTGAACACATAGTTGTCATATTGGTCATTCAGTTTCTATCAGTTTAACTGCTTCTCTTCAGAACAGGTTCTTTTTGAACCAAAGTCAAACATAGGTTGTTTTATTATAAAGTCATCAAAATTCAGAACAGCTGAGAGATATTAATTATTTTGAGATGTTAAAAATCCTTTAGCCTTTGAAAAACAGTATTTATATCCTATAGAAAGCATTTATATCCTATAGAAAGTCAATACAGTAACAACACAAACTAGAACAACAATGCCTTTGTTTCCTTCTACATGTCCCTTTGCTGTTCAAGATAAGCACTATTTGTTGAGGTAAAGCATTTGGTGTTTCAAATCCTATACTCCATTCCAGAGGGCTGCTAATATAATTGTGTAAGGTACACATAATTTTAGGTTGGCCATTCCTGTATAGAGGGGTAATCTAAGGCTAGCGATTATATCCCAGAAAAGAAAATAAATTCTTATCACCTCCTTGATCCCATCTGAAGAATCTCATTAAGGAGAAATAAACAAACAAACAATAAGAAAAAAAAAAAAAACCCAAACAATAGAGTCTTCTAGCTGGAAGGACCTAAAATATCTCCTAATCTGACCTTCCTCCCAGGGTGGAAGGTCCACAGATTTCCTTGCAGGCTGCGATGTTGGAGTTCTTCTTACAGACTTTGGTTGTCCATTTCTCCATAAGAAGGAAACATTCTTCAACTTAGTTTAAATACTCCTGGGTCCTAGAATCTTTTGTAGGTAGTTGTTGCAGCCTGAAGTTGAATAAGACTTGAAGTACTATGTTACGTTGTATTATGAAAACCTTTATTTTTGTATTTGTTTCTTCATCTACCTAACAGGTCACACATATATAGCAGAAACCAAATCTGCAATACCTAAGAAAGAAAAAGAAATTTTTAGTACCAGTCTATTTCCTTTTTAGATGCCTTTTAAATAACAAATTAAAACTTATTTTTCATTTGGGTTCAGAAAGAGTATCTACTAAGAAAATAATGTAATAGTTATCACTACATGTCAGTGTAAACACAGCATCCTCAAAAACAGACATTAGAGAAATATTAGGCATATTCCTAATATGCAAATATTAGGCATATTCCTAATATACCTAATATTAGGAATATGCCTAATATTTTTGTTTCAAGAAATTAAAAAAATTTAAAAGAAACTCACAACGAGAAAACTACTCATTAAATAGGTGAATGCAACTGAAATCTATATTGCACTAAGATATATTTCTTACAGGCAAAGTAACTTATTATTTTAAATACAATTTCATAATTCAAACTCTAAGATTTGACCTTGAGTATAATTTCAATAAATCACAATGCTATCTTAACATACAAGAACACAGATCTGAACGTCATGGTAAAAGCAATAAATAGCCTATCTGAAGACTAGATTTCATTGTAATTAACCACATCTTGGAAATCTCTTGGTGCTATGGAAAACTATCTGCCTTATACTATTGTTTATAGGAGTAATATGACCATCGTCAGGTATGTATTAATATTTTACAGGGAATACTCACTTTGAGGAAGAATTTGTATCCTTGTGTAATTAATAACCAATGAGGTCCTTAGAGACTCAAACTGGGAAAGTATTAATAGGTAGAGAGAAAAAATTATTTCAATTCACCCCTAGTTTTTCCTGAGGGTCAGGGAATGATTGTGGTAGGGGATGAATAATCATAATTGAGGCAACTATAAACTGATATCTGAATTATGTTCATGTACCTCTCTTGTCAAGAGTTTTGAAGACAGCCACCACTCAGCCCAAATCTAGGCACCACTGTTGCCACCGTTAGAGAAAAAGAATGTTCAGTAGCCAATGTTCAAAGAAAGGCAGCAGTAATTTATCTGCAGGTTCCAAAGACGTACAAGCCCCCAACGATGCTGAAAAGTGGAGGTCTGACTGTGTTACTAGTGCTCTGGTCAAAAGATTTCTGGGATGTTGATTCTTTCCAATAAATAATTTATGAAAATTGTTCCACTGAGGTGACAGAATAGGTCATTAATTAACTCTCATGGATTCTACTTTATGGAATGATTGGAGAAAAGTCACTAGATTGAATTAAAACACGAACTAAACTTTTTCCATAACCCTCTTTTATAAGTCTTTCAATATGGAAGCTTCCATAATTTTTTTAAAAAACTGTATATGTGCCAGAACTAATTGTAATGAGAAATTAAATGACCACTCTTTATGCAATGTATTTTGGGTTTAGCTTGATTCAGAAAATATGCTGATTTTCTAGACCAAAAGTTTTAGAATATAGGTTTGAATATAGGTTTTAGAATACAGCTAAGACACTAGTTATTTTAGTTTTGTTTATGGTCAATTAAAAAAAGTATTATTCAATGAAAATGAATGTCATGTTTGGTTATTTGCCTAAGCCTCTCAGTTTCAGTGGGTGTTTTGCTAGAATTTTGTAGGTGACTAGAGGCATATTATGTCAGAAACAATACTGAAGCTCAGGTTTTCATATATTTTGAAACAAAGAAAAACTTATTCTTGATAATCATTGAGCAGGTCTTACAATACACAAAGACAAATTCATACAGTTACAAAATATAAATTTGTAATAAAAAGTCATTTCCTGCCTTCAGACTATCTAGAGACTACTGAGTATTTCTCCAGGAATGCAAAAGCAAAAAAAATGATATTTCTGGAAAAGTACAGTCTCCTAAATTGAGTGTTTACCTGATTTTTAAAGTAGTTAACTTTGGTAAGTTATTACTTTATCTTATGTTTTTATATATATATATATATATATATATATATATATATGTAACATACATTTTTGCTACAGTCTCTTTTTTAAAATGTATGTTAATTTGTGCCTTTTTAAAAAACAGTCTTTTAATTTTTATCATTTGGTTAAAGGACAGAAAAATTATTACTGCAAAAATGATTTGAGTACATTGTAAGAATACTATAAGCTAGATAGGTTTGTGTTTTTAATATATTCAAAAACTATTCCTTCCTATTTAGCCTGAAGTTTTAAACACAAATCCATGACTCACCACAAATATTACTCCCCATTTTGACATGAGCATAGCCATCTACTCCCCACGAACTTCCCCATGAGTTCCGCACAATCCAATATGGAGTACTTCCTACAAAAGATAAAGTGGTAATAAACCCTGAAAACTCATATTTGTTATGGATGCATGAGTTTCTTTATTTAAAGTTGGGCTCTTGATATCAACTTTGAGGTAAAGATTACAAATGTTATGTAATGCCAACTTAAGTAAACCTGAGCTGTGCTTAGTATCACACTCCAATCAGTAGAAAATATATGTTTGAGTTCATTTCACTTAACGCAGAGACTACAAAAAATGAAAACACACACACATTTCCAAGGAGTTGAGAAAAGAAAAAAAAAAAGAATTGTTAGATATGTGTGATAAAATACTAAGTACCTTTCTTTTCCCAATAATTATCCTAAATATTCCAAATGGAGAATGTACATTATTTAAACCCCAAATTATCATCATTTTTAAAAGGTATCCATCAAAAAACCTATAGGTGGAACTGAGAGGGTATTTCCACCTGTAAGATTATTGAGAAGTTGTGAAGGTCTTATGGGGACTTGGACATAGCAAAACCAAATTTCAATATTCTATAGGATGGTGAATCATTTGGCTTCCAGAGTTCAAGTTGGAAAGCAATCAACTAGATCTTATCAGTACTTACCTGTTTTATCAAACCCAGTTATGAGAACTGCATGATTTGCTTCTCCACTAGAGCAATGATGCTGTATTATGCCTCCCAGGTAATCTTGCCAGCTTACTGCATCTACTATGACTACCAAAGGGCCAAAAGTAAGAAGTGCTTTCGCCATTTCATCTTCTTGCTCACTACCAAAAAAAAAAAAAAAAAAGAAAGAAAGAAAAAATATTTCGTTAAAAAGCTTAGTTTTTAAGGTAAAAATTTAAAAATGATCTATTTAATCTGTGTATGGTTATAAGTAAGTTTGGTGGTTGTAATTACAAAAGACAAAAATAATAGAGACTAAATGAAATCTGAGAGTTTGGCAATCTACGACTGCTATGGGCTCTGGGATATCAGGAACCCAGGAGTTTTCTGTATCATTGTTCTGCTTTGCGAAGTTTCCATTCTCAAGGTCTGTTCATGGTCCAAGAAGGCTGCTGGGGCTCCAGCCATTTAACACATATTTCAGATAGCAGGCAGTAGAAAGGAGAAGAAGGGGTACATCTCTGTTGAGGAGAATTCCTGGAAATAACACATAATACTTCCGTACATATCTACATGGATCTCATTGACCAGAGCTCAGTCATATGGCTAAGTCGGGCTTAAAGGAAGATGGGGAATGAATTTTGTAGCTGGCTAGAAAAGTACCCAGTTACAATATAGAGATTCTTTTAATAAGAAAAGGGAGAAGACTGAATATTTAGATATCTCTTGTCATCTCCGCCACACGGTGTGAATCAAGAGACTAACCAACTTATGCTAGTGAATGTCAAATATAGAAATTATAAGGAAGTGTTACCCAAAAGTAGCTAATATAATTATACAATAGAAGAAATGTTGAAAAAATGTACAAAAAGAAGAAGATGGAAGGAGAAGTAGGTGCTAGATTGTGAAAACTGCAAAATACACAATTGCTGTTTTCACACATGGACATCTACCAATAAGGTCTTATGTTACACAACATTTGTCCTTCATCGATCCTAAAAGTATATGATCAAACCATTATTTACATTTTTCAAAGGTCAGCTGTGTGGGTGAAAGACACTGAAACCAAGTTACCGATAGTTTGGGCCATTAAGATAGCACTTGGTGGTTTATTGCTACAGCAAGTCATGGGTGGATTAGTGGCTGGAAAGAGTAAATAATCCCTCATGATGCCCAGCTGGAGACTAGATTCTAGCAAGGGACTACTTTGTTCACATATAAGCAAAAAATTGAATGCGTAACAATGGAATTTATAGAAATAGAAACTATAAACTTATTTTATACGCTTATTCATGTTACCCATCAATGTGAAAATGTGATGTGAAAATCTATATTTTGGAGATCAATAAGCAGACATTTCTAATTTCTGCTGCTATGATAATGATCGGGATTCATTAAGATTACCCTGAGACAGGCAAAATTATAGAATTTTTAAAAGGCATCTTGAAAGGTTTGAATTTTCCCACACCTGGGTTCAAATTCCAGCTGGACACTGCAGTCATGCCATCTACCATGCAGAATCCATATGAAGATAAAATTATCAAAAGTAATTTTGCAGGATATAAATTATACAGCATGTCTAGCATGTAAATTATACCCTAAATTTACAATAAACATTTTCCTTCCCTAATTTCTAAATCATCTAATAATTAATTTTGTTAAGCATAGGATTTAGTGTATATAAACTATAGTTTATTGTGTTAAAGTCTTTGAATATCTTGTAATTTAAATATGATATATATGATAATCTCTGTATTAAATGGAACACAACTGTGTCCATCCATTTAAGATAACAAAAGGATTACTGTAAATACATCACATCTAAGATTCAGTTAGAGGAATGAAAGAGAAGCAGAAAGATCGAGATGAAGAAATATTTTTTAGAATGTAAAGAGTAATTAACATTGTAGGCTCAAAGAAACAATTTAGTAATAATCCTTGCTTTGAGCTGGAGCTGAAGAAAAGATAGCAAAGATATTGGAAAATAAGAAATAGGATGGCAATCCATGGACATAACCAGCAGACAAATGTTCCAATTGTTTCTGTCTCAGGACCTTTGCATTTATAGTTTCCTCTGCTTGGAGGCGTCTCCCAGATAACTTCCTAGTTAAATCTTCACACTTCTTCAGGTCTTCACACCAATGTCACCTTCTTAGCAAGGCCCTGTCTGGCAACTCTTTCTGAAACTGTATACTCCCTCCCCCCTGCCCCTGATCTTTCTTCTTCCTCACACTGTTTTATTCTCTTTAAAAATTATTATATCTAACATGCCATACATATTTTTATTTGTTTTTGTTTATTGTCTGTCTCAATCACTAAAATATAGTCCATGAGTTTTGTCTGTTTTGTTCCCTGCCAAATCCCCAGAACCTATCTGAATGAATGAATCAAAGAAATATCTCCTTGTAGTATAATACAATCAGCTTCCTCTCCCCTCTCCTAATTCAAACTAATGCCTATTATTCTTTTGCTTCTTCCTAATTTTTCTTTCAATTTCCTATCCATGACAAGGGATTCCCTGAATCCCTTTTAATGAGATTTTGAAAATCCAGTTTCTTCTTGTGTACATGCTTCCATCATACTCTCAAGGAATGGATGCTTATAGAAGCACACTTTCTCATTTTAGAAAGCACATTACCCACACCCCCAAAGGAGATGTTACCCAATGTACTCAGTGACCCTGCACATTTTATTATAAATCCCATGTAGCCTGCCAGCTGTGGAATTAAGGCTCTCTGGGGTACAGTTCCTAGGGTCACCCCGAGGGCCCTTGTTGCAGGCGGAAGCTGTGTTGTCAATATGCCAGTCCTCTGCCAGGCTCATTGAAAGGGGTTACATTTTGTTCAAGGATACAATTTCACCCTTGATTTCCTGCAGATCCCATGGGTAGATACCATCTGGATCAAGGGATCCTTTTATATTTAGTATCAGTAAGTCACAGGGCATTGTTACTTTATCCTAATTTAGTTTTAGTCCCTCTGTTTTCTGTTTCAAAAGACTGTGCAAAATTCCCACTGTATATATATTTTTAAATGAAGCCAGGAGTTGAGTTTTCTTCGTTTTTTTTTTTTTTTTTTCGTCCCTGAACATCTATTTTTCACTGTATCAAAGGATCATAAGGATTCTCTAGCTGGCTTTGTGTTTTTCATGTGTTTTTCAAGCACTTTTAACTGTTTCCTCCTGAACCTAGCCAAAGTTACCCTGTCCTTCAAGTTCAACACAATCCTTTTCCTCATCCTATTTTTATCTATCCCTGTGCTTACAGTGTGTGCTACATAATTTATCTGCAGTCATATATTCTCTTGTTTCTAACCTGAAATTTTTGGTTTATGTTTTTCTTATGGCTGATGTCTTGAAAAATGTAAGGAGCATAGGTGTTTGGAAAAATGCTTCTTGGTATGTAGCCTGCTCGGTATTAGCTGGAAAGTCTATAACAACCAATTTTGGATTGACTCAACATTGAGTCAATGTTGAGTCAATTTAGTCAATTGTTGAGTCATATTTCAATTGGAAATATGAAAGTGGTATCATAACACCCACATTTGGTAAGGGGAAGGGGGTATTAATTATTCTGCAGACTGGATTGAAATTTGTTGTTTCCAAAGTAATGACTCATAGAAAAATAAGCAGATTAAGAAACAACATTAATAACACTCCATTGTGATCACCAATTAGTAAATTTAAGTTTTAAAACAATTAAGAGTATGCAGTGATGCCTTAAATCAAGTTATTAACTCTGGACAGTTACTAGATCACAAATTAAAAATATGTAGAGAGAAACACAATAGAATAAGAAAGACACTTACCTGAAGTCATATGCATAATAACCTTTGATTGAAAATCCAAAATGTGAACCAGAAAAGTAATGGCACAGGCCATTCTGTGCTTTAAAAGGGTATTCTGAATCTCTCACCAGTTTTACCTGCATCTAAAAGAAAACAATGACCCAAAATGTTCACTGTCAGTTGTTTTAAAACTCAAACAGAACTTACTGCAATGTGTCAAAACAGGTACAGTTTCACTACACCTTTATCCTCTGGTATATCCTCTGGTTTTTAATAGTGTAAATCAAATCTTTAGGTGCTTGCTCTGGGCATCCTATAATTAGCACCAATATCTTTCTTTCTCTTTTACTTCTGTGTTCTTATATCTTATTTTCCTTAAACCTCCATTGATCTGATAATAAAGTCTCATCATCTTTCCCCTGAGGGTACAACAGGGCAGCACACTTTCCTTCCAGGGCTCCTGGCTCAGTGTTAACAAGTCTTTGAGACTCTGTGCAGTGGTTTATACACAGGCAACGGGTAGAGTGAGCATCCTCTCCATTACTTCACTCTATGCCATTCATCTAGCACTGTGGTCTCCAACCACTGGACCGACCAACAGGCTGCAGACTGATCCCCAGTTGGCCCATGGTCTGTTAGACACCAGGCCACACATCAGGAGGTGAGCAGAGGTTGAGCAAGCAGAAGCTTCATCTGTATTTACAGCCACTCCCTACAACTCGCTCCCCATCACTCATATCACTGCATAAACTCCCCTTCCTGTGAGATCAGGGCAGCAATAGATTCTTACAGAAGCATGAGCCCTACTGTAAACTGCGCATGTGAGGGATCTAGGTTGCAGCTCCTTATGAGAATCCAATGCCTGATGATCTGAGATGGAGCTGAGGCGGTGATACTAGCACTGGGGAGTGGCTGCAAATACAGATTATCATTAGCAGAGAGGTTTGACTGCAATAAATGTACCGCGCCTGAACTACCTGGCTCCTCGTCCCGCCTGTGGAAAAATTGTCTTTCCTGGTCCCTGGTGCCTAAAATGTTGAGGACTACGGATCTAGCATGTGTCAAGTACTTTGTAGATGTCTGTACAGAATCCTCCCATTCTGAATGCTGGGCTTATGAAAGGGAGGGGCGGCACAATTCACTGCTCCCCACAATGTGTGTAGAGAAGCTTCTGGAATACAGGGATTGGAAACACAGTGAATGGATGACGGAAGGGCATTTGGGTTTGGGGAACTCCTGCTTGATGACTTTCTACAAAACAAAATAGCGCCCTCACTGGCAGGCTTCATGCAGTTGATGCTGGATCTGGGACAATGTCAGAGACAGTCCCAAATGCACTGTGGGACACCGTGGTCAGCCAGGTGGAGCCATGCTGGGGGAGGCAGGGGACTGAAGGTGCAGCTCTGGCTCAGACACTGACTGGGCAACGATCTCTCACCTCTCAGGTCTCATTTCTTCACCTATATAAAAAGCTACTGCATTACTTGGCCTCTCATGTCCCTGTTAGCCTTAACATTCAGATATTCTATGAAAATAAATAATCATACACTCTCATCTTTCTGGGAAATTATGTGATATGTGTCTGCAGGAAAAAGCATTTACCTATTAAGAAGCATTAAGAGGTAAACATACATATTTTTCTGAAGACAGATCTCAGCTAAGATATTTCACTCTTTGGTTTCTTGATGGTTGATTTGCCTGGAAGCAATTTTTAGGTCATTTTTAAGTCTTCTAATTAATTACTTTAAGCTTTGGTCATCCACATTTCTGAATTTGAATTACTTAATACATGAGAGTAAATTATTTGAATTCTGAACACACAGCAAACAAGCAAATTGAGACTTTAAAAGGCTGAGTGACTAGTCACCTCGTTTAACCAGTTCAAAGCATTGAGAGTAGAGCCTCCATTGCAGCCATAATTGTTATAAGAACAGTCGATGACTTGCTGTACGCTTAGGTCTTCCAAAGGCTCCCCCTTAATTGCACACGCGGATTCCACTGCACCGACCACGCTGAAGGCCCAGCATCCTCCACACTGTTTACAAATGGAAAAGGCAGTAGTATTTATTACCAAATAGTGCTTAAATCAATTCACTGATAACTCTAAATATAAAAAGTCATCTAATCAAGTAAAGATTCCAGAATCTGGAAACCTACAAAATATATATATGCCTATTCTCTAGATTTCCAATTGAAAAAAGAAAAAGAAAAAGAAAAAAAACCCGAAGGTCTCTTTTGAGCATCAACATTTAATTATTAATTAGTGTTACATTAGTAATAATATTACTATTGTAAATGAGACAATGAAAGATCAAAGTGAACTTTTAGAGACTGAGAAAACACTGGGACTAACCGATGTTTTGTCTTTTTTTTTTTTTGAGACAGAGTCACACTCTCTCAGCCTGGCTAGAGTGCAGTGATATCATCATAGCTCACTGCAACCTCAAACTCCAGGGCTCAAGCGATCCTCCCACCTCGGCCTCCCAAAGTGCTTGGATTAAAGGCATAGCCACAGCGCTGGTCCTGATGATATTTTAAAACACCAGTCAGTTCACTGAACATGTGACTTCTCTTTGTAAGTGGTTTTTCTACTGGAGAGTGTGTACCGACTCTCACCCCATGCTTCAATCACCCTTGTTTCTCTCTGTGCCCTGTGTTTCTCTCTGTGCCCTGGTACATGACTTCTGTGGTCACGTACCAGCTCCACCAGGGTGGAAATCATTGAGGAGAGGATGTGGGGGACCATGTGTGTTGTGTTGTATTCATTAGTCGATGAAATCAGGAGCTGAATGAATTACTTTTCAGGCTATCAAGATGCCAGCATGTACCTATTAAGTATGCACATTGTGGATGAACACGAAATGTCCTAATGATTTAAACTCTTATCAATCATTCCTCAAACATCGCCTGCCAATCATGCTGATTATGGATATATTAACTTGTTTTACCGATTGCGGATCTATTAACTTGTTTTATTTGATAAGCTAGAACAAAAGAATAAAAGGGCCAGTCCTGAAAGAAAGGGAGGAGACAGGGGAATGGAATTAGGGATCATGTAAAAGGAAGAAGGATTCACAGAAAAGGCAGAGAAGAGAGTAGGATTTGAAATTGGACAGAAAACCAGGTGCGGTAGAATTAGGCCAAAGGGGGAAAAAAAAAGGAAGAACAATTGGATGTCTCTGTGGAGTGAGGTTTTGAGCAACTTTATGGCTTTACGTGCTCCTTTTTAGGTCTCTATCTTCAGCGCCTATGGCATAGTAAAATATTCACCAAGTGACTCCATGGCAGGGTCTCCAAACCTGGACAAATGTGAATACAGGCCTGCCGACACTACACCCATAGCTAGCTTTACTCAAGCCACGAGGGCAGCTCCTGCTAAACAAAAATCTCTCTCCAGTATATTCCTTTAATTAAAGATGCTAATTAGAAGTTCCTCTTTAGTACACTGCAGACAATTTTGGGAAAGGTTGGATTTATGTCTATTTCACATGTTATGAATCCAATAATAAAACAAATCATTTGGTGGTAAAATTTAATGCACAGTGATAAATAAAGAATCTGAGAAATAAAAAGGATCATTCTAACTAGGCATTCACTAAGAAACTGCTGGGTCCAAAACACTCTCCATACAAGTGAAGGCCGAATGGCCTGTTGAGGTTTTCCACTGCATACAAACTGCAGACAAATGGAGATTACCCTCCTGTGTTTAGGGGCCTGACTTTCCCTGTTGGCTGGCATTCCTGGCCAACAGTGGGGGTGCTGATGGCTAGGGGGTGACCGCAAAGCATGCACACACCCCTCAAATGTCTACCGGCTAGGCAAGTTCACTGTGTGCATTATAAGTCATCCTCCCACATCTGATGTTTCCACTTCCCTTCTGATTTCAGGGGGCCCTCCTTCCACCACTTCAGAATGACTCACAGTTGCAGCCCTTCCAACACCCATGACCATAGATAGGCACACTTTGGGTCTTCTTCAAAGTGAATTGTTATATTTATTGCAGTACTTACATATTTCTTAATCATTTAACATGTAAAAAACTGTGCTTCCAGGTTTATCTGTTTTCAATCTTTTTAGAAAATATGTCATTGACTAAGTTCTTAAGTGTCGTGACCTCACCTCATTTCCATCCCATAATCCCTGTCATCTTATTGCACACTTGCATAGAGGGTATTTTTTAAGAATGTATATGTCATATTGTAGCTGACCTGACTACTGACTATATTTTAAGCACCATGGATTAAAAGGTGTGTGATCTTAGGAGGATGGGAGCAGGGTTTTCTGGTGGAGATCACATGACGAGGCCTGAGAACCCAGCAGATCTGGCAGCACTAACTACTGGTAAATGTGTCCATTCTCATTTTAATTTCTCAGTGTTGTTTTCCTTCAAAACTACTTACATCTTTAGTGCTCATGTTTCCTTTCTCCAGCCTTCCACCTGCTGTTCTACAGAAGGCTTGGTATCTGGGATACAGCCCTGAGTTGGTGCGCTGGTGGCAATGGCAATTAGTGAGAGAACACAGCAAGGAAGGCTTCCTTTTAGGAATAAAAGTCAGGGCTTTGACATCTGCCTCTCACTCCCCCAGAGACTCTCCTTTCATTGTAACTTTTGGATGACTGAGGTGTCATTTTCCTAGAGAAATGATGAGCTCTATTACAAGTTTAATTAAACTTGACCTCAAAGGTGCTTTCCAATGCCTAAATAATTAGAAAAGAAAAAAGATCTAAAACTTACCGTCTGCTGGTTTCTCACTTGCGTCACAACATGCTTTTCCCTCCAGTCAAATCTTAATGGCAAAGATACATTGGAGATGGACAGTTGTACACCTGCTGAGTATCTGGGAACTCTGGAAGGTTTGCTTCTTAAATAAATGGCTGAGTAAAAACATAAAATGAAAAGACAACCAATATTATAGTATAGGGAGGGACCCTTGGGATTATCTTTGGAGGAACTTTTCAAACAGAAATAGTAGTTCTAGTAGACCTGTCATTTTAGGATTTTTTTGTATGTCATTTTATATAACATGAAATGTATTCAGCTGAAAGCTATAAAAGAGAAGCATTCCTACAATAAGGTTGGAGCTCACACAAAAGATGACTTGTTTGATAGAATTAGGTCAGTAATAAAAATGAGTATAATTGACATCATTTGCTCTATCATAACCCACAGAACTACAAGTATCTTGAACAGAAATAACACTGCAGAAGTGACAAGACAATTGTCCCTTATAGCCACATGGAAATGTGCATAAATATTTATTTCTTAAGCAATAATTAGCAGAGAATCATGAATTTAATTTTAATATGGTAAGCACATGGTACATGCTTGACACTTATTTGGTATTTAATAAATGTCAACTATTACTCTATTTACTAGATTTGCAATTAAACAATATTTTAAAGGTTAAGTAAACAAGCTATTAACATCAGGAGATAAATCAACTAATATCACCATCAGACCATACCTTTAAACTCTTCAGGAAACAAATAAGAAAACTTATTTATTCCATAAAAGGCAGTGGAGTTTTCACTAGGAAACAAAGAATTCAAATATCGATGTCTATTAAGACTTTCCTAAAAGAAAAAAAAAAAAGCTATTTTATATCTACCATGTCAATTTTCCAAAGTACTCTGTGTTTAACTAAATTGGAGATATTTTTCAGGTATAATACCAAAGCATGATTTCCTACAGATTATGATGTAAAGCTGTATAAGATATCCATAGCAGATTTATAAATATTTTATATTAGAATTACTGTCTAATTTCAGACAATTTTTTTTTGAGGCTTGGAAAAGTATATCTTATCTACTTACAATCCCTCTTCACCAAGCATATTGAGAGCATCATATATATGTAGTTGTTAAAGTGTTGACATAGTCAAAAAATAAAATAAATTGCAAGAAATCACTAGATACTCATGGCAAATTGTCACCTGTAGACATTCACTCATGTGATTAAATAATTACGAATATAGAAAGTGTCCTCATCATCTTTGTGTTTTCCATCACTAAGTAATGAAGCATGAAAAAAGGACTGAGTAAATAAATGAATAAATCAATCTAATTCCATTACAGCTTTATGGGTCTCTTTATCTTATGTAGGGTAAAAAGGCATTGTGAAGGAGCTGCAACTCTGGAAACGTTCCAGGGAGATAGCCCGGTATTTCTATAAAGAGGGAAAATGGGACCATTATTTATAGATTCTTCAACTTTGAATTTTGTAATCATTTATCTTAAGAGTTGTCTTTTGTATGAACATGCTTCAATTTCCTAATACCAACCAATTGTGTAAAATAAATAAAACTTCAGGGGACTATCATTTGGTAAGTTTCCAAGCCTAGCTCTTCCACATATTTGTTTATGTACTTATGTATTTATTCTGCGTCTGTCTCAAAAACCTATCAGCGAAATAAGGGCAGACTTATCTGCCTTTTTCATCTCAGTGTTACCCTCTGAACACCTGCCTGGCACACAATAGATCCCCAATGATTGTTTGTTGTTAAATAAATGGATACATGATACTTTGCATATGTCATGGCCTTACCAGCTTCCAGCTGTTTATTTATTTATTTATTTTTACGTGTCCATTTATTAAACAAGAATTCCTTCGTGACAATTTAATACAATATTAGCGATTAGTGTTGAGAAAATTATTTCCCTCTACATACAAAAATACAGATTTGAACACTATGAAAACAATCAAGACAAGTGCCATGAAAAATTGGTCCTTCAAAAGAAAGAAAAGGGGAAAACTGAGGGCAATGTGAGGCTTTGTCTGCTATCAGGGCTGAATCAACAGGAGCAAAAGTTCTGGGACCCCCTAACGACTCAGGTGTACAGAGTGGAGCCCCAGGGCATCCGCGCCAGTCTGAGATGCCAGGATGGGTGCTCGGACCCATGACAGCCAATTTGCCAAACGGGCATCACACCACACCTCAGGCTGCCTCACAGCTGTATCTTTAAACTCAAAAAGAAACAGACTCGTAACAAGCAAAGCGTAATAGTTACTAAATGAACACTGCCCCCCAAAAGTGCCACTACGTGATGTACCAAGGAGTCATCATACTGGAAAGCTATACTTAGGCATCTGACTTGACCTCCTTTGTTATCAAATAGTTACATATTTTGACCCTTCAGCAAATTATTGCTGGAGTTTCCATAATCTCATTTGTTCTTTTTGAGCATGCCTAGAAGGACTGCTAATTAATAAATTAATAAAGTTTTTGAGGGCATTTAAAGAAAGTCTTGGCCGGGCGCGGTGGCTCACGCCTGTAATCCTAGCACTCTGGGAGGCCGAGGCGGGCGGATTGCTCTAGGTCAGGAGTTCAAAACCAGCCTGAGCAAAAGTGAGACCCCGTCTCTACTATAAATAGAAAGAACTTAATTGGCCAACTAATATCTAGAAAAAATTAGCTGGGCATGGTGGCACATGCCTGTAGTCCCAGCTACTCAGGAGGCTGAGGCAGCAGGATGGCTTGAGCCCAGGAGTTTGAGGTTGCTGTGAGCTAGGCTGATGCCATGGCACTCACTCTAGCCTGAGCAACAAAGTGAGAATCTGTCTCCAAAAAAAAAAAAAAGAAAGTCTTGAAGAATCAGGGTGTTGAATATAATCTGGATATATAAACATAAAAACAGAACTAAAAGAAAAGGCAATTTTATATATGGCAATGCCAAACATAAGCCAGAAAGTGTTAACTGCCAAGTAATCAAGAGGATTCACAGATTCACTCAGTCAATAAGCATTGGTTGGCCACCTTTGTGAGCTGGAGTAGTGAGGAAGGGATTGAGAATGCCGGGCATTAAGAATGCACAGGAGAGCACGTGCGTGGGAGCCACAGGCTGACTTTGAACTGCCACGATTACACCGAGAGAAGCCACAGTTCCCACAGGCTGCACATAGCTAATGACTAAGGCTGGGCATGTAGGGGAGACACAGGACTCCTCTGACGGCTGATTTTTGATTAATGACTCCCCAATGGCCTTGCCAAACTTGCCAACCTTCCTTGGACTGTGAGGCAGTATAGAGTTCCTCCAACCTTCCTTCCCTCTCTCCTTTCCTAGGGTCAGAGCTACACAGCACTCAGATAGCTCTACCTGGCCCTCTCCCCATTCTCTCCCAGGCATTGCTCCTGTGATTAGGGAAAAGAAAAGACAGAGGAGAGGAGAGAAGAAGAGGGGAGGGGAGAGGAGGGGAGAGGAGGGGAGGGGAGGGGAGGGGGAGGGGAGGGAAAGAAAAAGAGAAGACACAAATTATCAACATCACAAATGAAAGAAGGGTCATGATTACAGATGCTGCAGGCATGAAAAAAAATAATATTTTGAAAACTGTATGCCAATAAGTTGACTACCTGTATAAAGTGGACAAACTCTTTGAAAGGCACAGATTACCAAAGTTGAAAGTAGGAGAAATAGAAAACTTAAGCAGCCCTTTACCAACTAAAGATATTAAATTGGTAATTGAGAATTGACCCAACAGAGAATTCCAGGTCCAGGTAGCTTTATTGGTGAACTCTGTACAGTTAAGAAAGAAATGATACGCATCTTACCCTTGGAGAAAACAAAGAAGAAGGGAGCACTTTGCAACTTAAATAAGACCAGTGTTATTCTTATTCTAAACCAGAAAAAGACATCTCAAGAAAATAGAACTACATGCCAATATCCTTCATAAATATACTATAGTTGTAAAATCCTTAACAAAATATTAGAAAATCAAATCTAACAATATATAAAAGGACAATACATCATGACCAAGTGATGTTTATTCAGAAATGCTGGGTTGATTTAATATTTGAAAACCAATCCACATAATACATCATATTAACGGAATAAAGGTGGGAAAACCATAGGCTACTTTCAACAGATGCATAAAAAGTATTTGATAAAATTCAACCCACTTGCTGATAAAAATTCTCAGCAAAGACTGAGAATAAAATAAACTCTTCAACCTGATTGAGGGGATTTAGGAAAAACCTACATGATTGTGGTGAAGGGCTCATTACTTTCTTCCTCCTAACAGGAATAAAGAAGGAACAGCTGCTCTCACTGCCTTTATTTCCCAAGTGTGCTGAAATACTATTTTGGTCAATAAGGTAAGAGTTAAATAAAACACATTTTAAAGAAAGATGTAAAACTGTATATATTTGAAGAAACTAGGATAACATGTAGAACATGCAAAGGAATCCACAGAAATGCTACTTGAAATAGTAAATAAATTTCAGCAAGGTTGTAAGGTACAAAGAAGATCAATATAAAAAGCTAGTTGTATTTTTTACACTGGCAACAAACTATTAGAAAATGAGACTTAAAAATTTTTTAATGTTTAATGAATATGAAATATTGAATTTTCATATATTTTAAAAATCACTAAATTTAACTAAAGTTGTTTAAGACTTGGACTGAAATCTACAAAATATTACAAAGAGAAACTAAATTAATGGTGAATTATACCATGTTCATACTTTGGAAGACTCAACATTGTTAGGATAGCAATCTTCCCAACTGATTATAGACTTAATGAGATACCAATAAAAATCTTAACAGACTTTTTTTTTAAGAAACTGACTATTGGGCAAAGGGATTTTATAATTTGATATCAAAGGAAAAATAATGTCAAAATTGATAGACCTGACTACAAAAGACCTTCAGTGTATTACAAAAACCATAAATTAAATTGAAAAGTAAACAAAGCCTATGAAAACTACCTACAACTAAAGTTAACAACATTATTATTCAAGGGATTTTCTGATTAATTAGAAGGAAATGAAATACTGATAGAAAAAAAAAATCAGTATAAGCAACCTATCTTATATTATTGAAAATATAAAAATAATTTATTAATACACAATTTATTAAATTTCAGTATTAAAGTGATGCTAAGTGACATAACAATAGCATTTTATGTTTTTCTGTGAAATGGGTACATTGCTTATAAACGTAAGATTCATTCTTCATGAAATCACTGGGAAACAGGAATATACCCCTCACATACATACATGTACACACACACATATAGGAAGCATAAACTGGTACATCCTTTCAAGATACTTAAAATTGTACAAATTGTTTGGCCAAGATTGTCTAATTCCAGGAATATATTTTAGACTCATGAGTGTTGGCAATGCTGTAACTCCAAGTATTATATTATAAGGGGATATGTGTGTGGGGGGGGTTACACATGTGTGGCTAGGAAGGGAGATGGTAGTTTAGACACTTTCCATTTAGTTGGACAGCTAATGCAAATTTATCTTACTACATCATTTTATAATCTATGAGAAAAAAAATTGCCATTTTGAGTTAGCAAATGTCAGACTAAAGCCAAAATGCCTAGAAACAAACAAATTTATATATCACTTCTTCCTCAGTGAGTTCCCAAGTACCTCTCTTAATTGTTGCATTGCCTTAGGAATGTCATTTCATCATCCAAAGTTTAGTCATTCTGGCTGTGAAGTAATTTTAATGACACTAACTTAATAATGAGAGAAATATATATAGTTTTGATTTATTTTAAATATTCATGTCCCTAATTTTCAATGATGATTCCAGTAACTGTTACTTGTTTTGTGGTCTTACGCATG